GATGTGGGGCTCTGAGCACCCCAACCCTGCCAGTCAGGACACCCCTCCACGGTGGGATGTGGGGCTCTGAGCACCCCGACCCTGCCAGTCAGGACACCCCTCCACGGTGGGATGTGGGGCTCTGAGCACCCTGACCCTGCCAGTCAGGACACTGCTCCACGGTGGGATGTGGGGCTCTCAGAGCACCCCGAGCCCGCCAGGCCCCGCTCCCGTGGCTGTGTGTGGCTCTGTGCCGGGTGCGGGGCGGGTCCATCAACCAACCCACCTTGTCCCTGCGGAGTGTGCCGGGCCACGCGGCCCCGTCTCCTTCCAAACACAACAAAGGGTGGAAGAAAAATGAGTCAGACAACAAGAGCAGGCTGGGGCTGCTGTGCTGCCGGCACCTGAAGCGGGCCGAGAGCAGCCAGCACCTCCTTTCCAACTGGGTACAGTGGGATGGGGAAGAAACGGGGAAAGAAAACAAAACCCAAAACAACAGCTTTCAAACAATTGCTTTTTACAGTATGTACAGAGCCCAGCAGGCAGAGCATCCCCGTACAGCGGCCCTCGGGGCCGGGTGCGACACGGACACACACAACTGAGCGATGGCCCCTGTCCCCCGGCCGGGCAGCGGGAGAGGCGGGGCAGGGCGGGCGGCCCGGCCGCTGCGGGGCCGAGGTAGAGTGTCGGCCTGGGGTGAGCTGCGCTGGGGCTGGGGGCAGAGGACCAGAAAGCCCCTGTCCTCAGAGCTGGGAGCAGCCAGGAGTGGGGACCATCTTCCTCCAGGACCCGGTGCCCCCAGCCCTGGCACGAGGCTGGAGCGGGGACTGGCACGGCCCCACACGCCTCTGGCAGAACCTAAGTGTGCTTGTTTCTTGCTGCGCCCTGCCTGCGGCCTGGGGAAGCTGCCCTAAAAGCAAAAGGTGGATGAAAAGGGGAGCCACAGCCCTCCCAACAGCAGGATGTGCTGCCCCAGGGTTTGGGGGGCACTTGCCGTGATAGTGGGGCAGAGAAAAGGCTGGGATTTGCAGAGCTGCAGCTCCGAAACCAAAGCAAAAGCCACAGACAGGAGCTTCAGGCAGGTCTGGGCCGTGCACAGCCTGGGGGCCCTGGCAGCCTGTGGGGTGACAGACACAGCCCCCAGCTCTGTCCCCTGCTGCCCC